AGGAAAATTCTGAGAGTGCCTTGGACCACAAGAAGATCAAACCAGTCCATACTCTAGGAAATAATGTCCAACTGCTCACTGGGAAGGATATTAGACGCAAAAATGAAGTAACTTGGCGACATAATGAGAAGACAGGAAAGCTTTGAGAATATAATGATGCTGGGGAAAATGGAAGGCAAAAAAGAAGAGGGGCCAACCAAGGGCAAGATGGATGGATGGTATCCTTGAAGTGACTAGCTTGACCTTGAAGGCACTGGGGGTGGTGACGGCTGACAGGGAGTTCTGGCGTGGGCTGGTCATGAAGAGTCAGAAGTGACTGAACAAATAAACAACAACCACAAGGTTACAAGAATTTTTTTAATACAAAGAATGAATATATTTTAATAAAACTTACATGAATTATAGCATAGGTATTACATTATTTTTCTACATAATCACCATTCAGTTAAATACATTTTGTCATCCGTGTGATGAGTTTTTGATGCCTCTATCATAAAAGTCTTCCACTGCCTTTTTCAGCCAGTTCGGGGCTTAAAATATCCCAACCAAATGAAGGCAACAATTATTGTGTTGCATGAGCAGTGTGTGGACGCACATTGTTATGAAGGAGACAAACAGAAGGGAAACAGAATAAGGACACTAATCTCTAACCTTCACCACAACATCAGTCAATGAGCTACTGATGACTAGCACTGCTCGTTCGCTTCCGCTGGCTTCCCTCTACATGGCAGTGATACCCACTTCCCCCATGAAAATTCCCCACGAGAGCTATGTGCCTTGTAACTTTACTTTCCAGATGACCCTCATATCAGACTCTTGTGTGGCCCAAAATTCATATTCATTTGAACTTCTATTGGGTTTTATATGATTTATTTATCTATAGTTGTATCTAAGTTATGAATATAGTTGGCTTTCCAATACAGTCAAATGCATGTTGTTAGCTCCAGTGTGAAGTAGTACTTAATACCAAGCTAATCTGCATCAAAAATTCCCTAGGTTTATTTCTATTCTACTTTTTCTTATTTTGTGCTCTTTGTGATAAAGACATCAAAGCAGGTAAACAAGTAGTTAATTATCACATAGGACTCTGCAGAACCTACTGATAACAGTGGTTTTTCTGATGCTATTGGACTCCACCTTCCAAAGTCTGGCCATTGATTGCGTTGAATATGACTGATGGGATCTGTGGGTCAGAAGGCCACCAAAGTCCCTAGAAGATGCATGGTGTTTTCCAGTTATAATTTAATGTTATTGTGCCACTGGGGTCATGGCCTATATGTTGTGGCAGGGTACTATGCTTGGTCAGGTTGTAATTCTCCACTGCTTTGCCTTCATGCATTTGTTGCTGGTCGAAGTCCTTAGACTTCCAAACAGATTTATTTTTACTACAGTACTTAAACTACTGCTGGGTAAATCATAGTTCCATCTTATTATTTATTAACAATTCTAGCAAAACAAAAATGGTTTTCTTATATTTCCCCTTTTATCTTTTCGAAATGCTGCCATTAAATTTTTCATGCAGTCAAACTTGTATACGAGATTTTCATTGATTGTATTTTTTTCAGGTGAAGTTCAGGTAAACCTGTCTCATCCATATCATCATATTGGTCTCTAGTGATACTTTAAAATGTATCTGTTTGCTTCCAGTGCAATTTGTGCTTCTTTGTTGGCACTTAACATAGAGGAAGTCAAATGTATGTATAGTACAACCCCCATATCTATGGGAAGTATATTCTTGGACTTCGTGTGGATATCTAGTTGGAAGACCTAGAAAATGCCTAGAGAGCACATGCTTCATCATACATGGATAAATGAAACCCCAGATTCTGGTCCTGTGGATATTTATGAATGGTGACTAGCATACTATACCAGTGGTGACTGGCATTTTCCATAGCAGTGAAATGCTGCATTTCTTAACTTTCAAGGAAATAATCAGGATACACATTCAATTCCCAAAAATGGTCTTCTCCTTGGATAGTCCCTTAACACTTCAGACTAAAATGTGGAGCTTCAGATTAAAATGCGGAGCCCACTGACTACCAGCCAACTTTGGTGTGGACTAAAAGATAATTATTCTCTGGGTACATCAAGAGTTGATAGCTTGTGTCTCTCCAAGTGTTGATGCACTTCAACTCATATTATCTCTCATTGCCTATATTGATTGATGAGAGCTGCAGTTCAATATATCTTCCACCCAAAAACATCCACTTTTTATTGTTCGTGTTTGTTATTGCTTGAATTCCTGTACCTAACCTCATCCCGCACATTCTCTGGGTTTTTGTTCTATAAATTTGGAAAATGGGTCAGATTCTGAGCTGTGTCACTGATATTTAATGCAGCCTTCACAAACTTTCTTGATGTGTCAGATTACAGGCTGATTCCCAATGAGTTGCCGTGCTGTGTAGGAAATGGTGGTCAAACAACTATGCAAAGAGCACCAGACTGTTTACCAAGGTTGTTTTTCCAGAGATGGGAACGGGTGGATAATATAAAAATATCCTTGGTTTTGAGATGGATTTATTGGTAGTGTTCTGGGAAGTAAAAACAGAATGGTGAAAGAAATGGATGGCTACCGTTCACAACTATATTTTATGTGGAATAATTTCAATTACATTCAGAAGGATGCAGTCAAGTTCCTGTATTACCATACTTGTGTTAACCAGAAAAAGTAACATCATTTCTTTATTGAAAAATGTAACATGCACTACAACTCTATACATATCTGTTTAGAAGTCAGGCTCATTGAATTCAGTTTAATTGAATCGAATGATGAGCTCAGGTAAATAAATGTTGTGTTATAGCCTTAACCACCTACATAGTAATTGAACACTTAGACTATCATTATAAGAGAGCTGCTAGGATGAAAAACTCCTGCTTTTTTACACCAAAGGACAAGAACAGCTCCTTTCCCTTGCTGCACAAAACAGCCAGTTAGTGGCCAGGGGCACAAAGTTGCACCTAGCTTAACAATGACATTACATAGTAAGTGTGAAGACACTGCAAACACAAGTAGTGGATACCTCTTTGCATAGCATCTTTATAAGTACCTATGCTGACCTAATTCCTTGTTACATTGTGTAAATAATCAGAACTATGCTAGCCTAGATTGGGTTGCTGTGAGTTTTCTAGGCTATATGGCCATGTTCCAGAAGCATTCTCTCCTGATGCTTCACCTACATATACAGCTTCAAAACCTGGCTGCAATCAGGGCCTGCTAAAATCTTCCAACAAAGGACTCCCCCAGGCAGGAAGCAGCCAGGCTTTGAAGCTGCAAGGCCATTCAGTGCTAATCAAGGTAGCCAATTGCAACATTCACACCTGCCTCAAACAGACAAGAGTTCTTTCTCTCACCCTGGACATTCCACAGATATATTAACTTCACTTACCTAGTTTTCAACAGACCTCACAACCTCTGAGGATGCCTGCCTTAGATGTGGGCAAAATGTCAGGAGAAAATGCTTCTGGAACATGGCCATACAACCCAGAAAACTCAGAGCAACCTGGTGATTCCGGTCACGAAAGCCTTCAACAACTAGCCTAGATTGTTTGTTGTGTCTTAAGTTTAGTGCTATTTGCTACAGTTGATGTTTATTCGTTCTTACAATTAATACCCCTCTTTTGGTTTTCAGCATTAAAAAGCTTCCAAGGTGACTGCTACCTTTAATCAAGATAAAATATAAATCATAAATGATACTACAAATCACAGCTTTCAAGGACAGGGTAGCTTAGGTTAGAAGACTATGTGGAGGAAGAGAGAACTGTTTTGGTAAAGCAGCAATGTGGAGCAATCTTCTGCCTGCCTTAGTCCTCGTCTTTGTTTTCTGGAGTTCTTCGTATAGGCCAATTGGTGGTTATGGCTTTATCTGTAGAGGGGACTATCAATCTGGAGTAGACTTCTGAAATGAGCTCATGATTTCCATAAAAGGAATTATGTTGCATCCTGAAGAAGAAAGCATGATGCAGTCAGAATACAATTTTATATCTTAAGGTAGTATTCGCAAAATGGCATTATAAAATTAATCTTATATGGGATGTGGGATTGTGTGACTTCATCATCGAATACTTGAGCTTTTAAAAGGATAGATTCATGCTCCCTTGTTAGATGCTTCTCCAGTCCAGGCTATGAACAAAGTAAACCTTGGTGGATAATATCAGAGCTATGTGTGAGGAGGTACTATGATCATATAAAGAAAATATTTAAATGTTATCTTTTTTCTTTCTTTCTTTGGCCAAAATCCTATTTTTAGTCCTAACTAGAATAAACTATTGAATCAATTATAACTTGATAAGGCGACATTTTGTAACTTCAGTTGCATCAGTGGATTTGCTTTAATTGGGACCAGCATTGGGATTTAGATTGTTCAGTTGGGTCAGAGAGGGGGAATCATGTTTGGTTATCCTTCCTACAATAGCATTGTTTTTCAAAGATAAATATTGAAAAGACTGGTTTAGGGTTGAGTATAGGACAGCAAGGAAAAGTGATATATTAATCTACCATAATGCTATGTGACCAGCACAATTTGTAGTATGTGTTATTACAACAAAAATGATATTACATGGTACAAATGCCTATGGTATGAAAACATTTTGATACATTAATCCTCAACTGTAACTTGGTATAGGTAAAGGTTTCCCCTTGACATTAAGTGTAGTTGTATCCGACACTGGAGGGGTTGTGCTCATCTCCATTTCTAAGCCAAAGAGCCAGCATTGTCTGTAGACAGCTAACATGACTGCATGGAGCACCGTTACCTTCCCACCAAAGCGGTACCTATTGATCTACTCACATTTGCATGGTTGTCAAAAGCTGGGGCTAACAGCAAGAGCTCACCCCGCTCCCCGGATTTGAACCACCAACCTTTCAGTCAGCAAGCTCTGCAGCTCAATGGTTTAACCTGCTGTAACATGAGTTTCTCTCAAATGAAAACTCCATAAAATTGTTAATAATGTGATACAGTTCTTAAATCATTGAGTTTCCTGTTTTTGTTTTTTTTACTCAGTTATTTCAATGGAAACAACTGGAGAATCTTTATTTCCGTGAGAAGAAGTTTGCTGTTGAGGTTCATGATCCTCGTAGGTAAGCGTGCAATGTCAAAATATAATCTGTTATTCATGCATTGAATTCCAAAGATTGGATCTGACGGCATTGTTCCATTGATAGGATTTATTTTTTTCAGTGGAAGTAGGATGGGAAATCCCACACTGTAATTCAAGACAGGGTGGGTATGTAGAAAGACAGCTGTCCTAAAATATGTGATCTTCCTAATGTCAGTATCACACATAAAAGTTTGTTCCAGTGGGTCCCATTCTAGTTTTGAAAGAGCTATGTCAATTAGGTCACTCTCCTCCTCCTCCATCAGAGCAGGTTCTGCTTTGAATTTTATTTTTCGTCACCACCTCTGGCATTGCCACAGATGTTCTCTTAGGCTCCCAACTGTATATTGTACACCTGTTTTTTGTTTTTGTTTGTTTGTTTGTTTTGCATTTGTAGCTCTGCTTTCTAACAATGTAAAGTCAAGGGTCTGAATGTAACAGAAACTTCTTTCACACTGAAGTAGTATTTACTTATTTATTACTTATTTACCCTATTTATACCCTGACTTTCTCTACCCCAAGTGAGACTCAAGGCAGCTTACATATGGCAATTATTCAATGCCTTAAACAAATGCAACATTAAGCTTAAAATCACTGAATTAAAATTAATACATATTAAAAATTTGAAAAATTACATTCAATATTAAACTTACTCCATCAAAAAATAGTCATCTGAAGCTGCTTCGTGGGTAAAGCTATAGCTGGATTGTACATCTTCCATTGAGTTGTCATGACTGAAAAGTCCTCCATGCAGTAAGTCCTACTGTTCTTACAAAATATGGAGCACTTGTTACCGGTATCTTGTTTTCTTTGTGAAGGGAATTGTTTGTTTGGAGGAGCATTTCATCATGCCAGCCATTCCCCTATGATGGTCCAAGCCCATACATTGCTTGACCAGTTGACCAAAATAGGCCACATACTCTAAAAGTCAAACTATGGTTGCCAGTTATTTTGAAGGATATGGGTTTGTGTTTTAGACACTATGGTCAAGAGTGTGTTTCATTTATCTAATTGAAGAGATCATTGAAGAGGGGTGTATGGATGTTTCAGTAACAACTTTATATGGTCTTTCTAAATTCTGCTTCAGAATCTCGGTGTCAAGAAGGACTTTTGGACACAGTGGCCTTGTAGTGCAGACCTGGTATGCAAACACTTCTCTAATCAAGTCCATCTGGGTTATGGCAATCAGTCAACATCAGTTTTACTTGGACAGAAAGCAAAGCAAAGTAAGTTAAAATGATTAAATGTCATTTTTTAGAATTTAGGTCTGTCCTTTGCATCTGGAACACCCTCTGCATAATTATATCTCCCTTGGAATTGAACCCTCAACATTTTCCAGCCCACCTGCCCACAAATGCATAGATTAGTCATCTGTGGTACATTGACAGCTTAAAGATAGAAATTCTAATTGGCAAATGCATCCCTCTGTGGTTACTTAGACATTATTTTACTCACCACAAATGACCTGTGGCGGTTGAAAGGCTTTGGTAACTTGGCAACTGTTGCTTGATCTTTCAGAAGAGATCTAGCTATTCAGCCTGTTTCAGGTCTTAGTAATCAATGCTCAGGAAATACGTTAAGTGATGAAGCAACAATTTTAGATCTTGAAGCATAATGAAATGTCATGTCCCATAACTTTGGTTTAAAGATTTTATTAGAGATAACCTTTCAATAATATAATTTTGTATGTACTTTTAAATTCCTTCAGGCAAAAATTCCATCAGCAAGAAGTTTGGATGATATTGCAATGGACCTCACAGATATGGGAACCCCAAAAGTTTCAAAACTAGCAGCTTTGGAAGCTAAGAATCAACTTATAATGGCCAGCAATGGTAGCTTAATATCTTCAGGTAAGATATCTTTCTTGTTTCAGTGCAATTTTCCTGGAGGGTTAGGAGGGGATATGTGGGGCTACTTGAGGAAGGGACAGTCACTTCAAATCAGGTAGAGGCCTGTCCCATCTAAGTTATTCCATTCTACACCTTACATAGTCATGACTGGCTTAAGCCATAAATGTAGGACATTTCCACCCTGCCCCAGAAACTCCTTGTGTTTCATGTTATTCAGGAGACATGCTCCACTCTCCGGACAGGTTTTTGGGTGAGGAGGCACAAGGAACAAAAAAATTTCTTCCTGTACGCCTCCTTCCATTTACTTATTTTGGAGTGCAAGCCATAACATGGAGAGGTGCCTTTAAAAACAAACAATGTGGCAATCACGTAAGAACAAAGAGAAGATCAAACAACATCACCCAGTTTAAATTGTGGGTGCATGTGTTCCTCTCCCCAAGAATCACATCAAAACCAGTGATCATAAGAGTAAATAAAAGATTGCTTTAAACACCTGTAGTTTTATCTAGAATGTCTAAAGGAAGTGAGAGCCAACTCTTGTTCCTCCTTCCATCCCTTACAACAGTGGTTCTCAACCTGTGGGTCCCCAGATGTTTTGGCCTTCAAGTCCCAGAAATCCTAACAACTGGTAAACTGTTTGGGATTTCTGGCAGTTGTAGGCCAAAACACTTAGGGAACCACAAGTTGAGAACCACTGCCTTACAAGTATTCATTCTGGGGTTTTTTTTTTAAAAAAAAAACAACCACCTGCCAGGTTCTAGTCCAAGAATTTTTGGCCTACAACTTCCAGAAATTCCAGCCAGTTTACCAGCTGTTAGGATTTCTGGGACTTGAAGGCCAAAACATCTGGGGATCCACAGATTGAGAATCACTTCTCTAGAGGTGTCAGGACATTCTCAAACTGATTGGAATAGGAAGTCACAGTAGCCTATGAGTTTACCAACTTCTCTTCTAGGCTACAGTATGCCCTCAAAACCTATTGGGATTTGGCTCCAGCACACATGCACACACACACTGAATACCAAAATATGAGGATGCTCAAGTCATATTATATACAGTTGCGTACTAAGTGGTGCCCTTTATGTAGACTTTGAACTTAATTTTGAATATTTTCAATCCATGGCTGATGGAATCCATGGAGGCAGAAACTGTGGAAACAGAGAACCAACATTGGTTCAAGTCAACAGCATAATTGACTCCAGGGGACAATACTTACTGGTAGCATTTTCTGCTCCCAGACATTTTGTTCCAATTTCTGCGCATTCATGCGGATGAAAGCACAGGCTAGCATGATCTCATTCCTAAAACTACCCAGTCTCATTGCAAATATTATTTTCACCCTTGCCCTTTATGGCCATATAACAAGTAATTGTCTCTAAGGAAAGGAAATGTATTCTTAATGGACCTCTAGTATAGTGAGAGATCAGCTTTAATTTAGTACAGGCAAACTGAATGGTGTGAGCACTGTTTAGAGCAACATAAGAACTATGCAGATACAAGTTGGTATCTTCTTCTTTCTGCCTCATTCAGCAGTTCTGGGGCTCTGAAGATTTAGAGGCATCCTGTGCAGTCCCTAACTTTGTCAGCGATGCAGCAACCACTTTGCCCATATTTTAGCTTTGTGCAGTGAATATCTGTAGAACAAGGATGATGAGCTCTTTTTGAACATCACGTACCAGATGCCTGTGCCAACATGACCAATACTGTTCAACTTATAGCCCATAACATATGGAGGGAAGTTCCCCACACCTGCCTCACTACAAATGAAAACGGAGGGGAGAGATGTTACCTGTTTTGGCTGTACACATATCTAAAGCCGTCTTTAATGGCCATAGCAGTCTACAGATGCTAGTACTATAAGAAATATTCCCAATATATTTGAAAGGTAGAAATCAAGCAATTTGGTTTTTGCATATTTCCTGCTTGGTGTTTCAACCTCTTGAGTCTGGGCATTTATAGGGCAGGTGTATACATGTCTGTCTCTGCTGGAATCAGAAGTGCCTGTTGCATTCAAAGTAATACAGCTATAATTTGAAAAATCCACATCGAACTAAGAAAAAATGTCAGATCATTTTGTTAATTCCAGACCCAAGAAAAGGAGCCTTAACAATCACAAAAGTGAGCAACAAGAAGAAGTGTTGCTTTTGGGTTTTTCTCTTTTCATTTTTTTTCAGCATGTAAATCTTGAGGATTTTTCCAAACCTGCAAATCCCTCCTCCTTGTGTGCAGATTATGAGCTACAAAAGAAATAGCCCTCAAAGCCTAAGCATCAGAAATAATGAAAATGATTTGCTTTTATAGGCTCTCAAGATTCAGAGGCTGGTGAAGAGCAAAAGAAAGAGAAGATCTTGGAACTGAGAAAGAAGGAAAAGCTTTTACAGGAGAAGCTTCTGCAGAAAGTGGAGGAGCTAAAGAAAATATGCTTACGAGAAGCGGTGAGGTCTATTTGTTGCTTTCCATGTGTTTATGTGATTCTGGTGTGTCAGAACATGCTAATTCTACTGTTCCTAACATTGCATTTTCTTCCTCCACATAGGAAATCACGGGGAAAATGCCAAAAGAATACCCTCTGAACACAGGGGAGAAACCTCCTCATGTCAGAAAGCGTATTGGCACAACGTTTAAATTGGATGACAACCTACTTCCTAGTGAAGAGGTATGTATAAGTCCTGCTGGAGGTTTCCTTGCCAAAACGGGGCAGTCAAAAGTAGTAATGGAATGCCTTTGAAAATATTGAGTCTGCTATTGGCTTTGAGGTATATATTTTTTACTGTTTGGTTTAGTGAAAGGAGATCTCAGACAGGAGGTTTGCTGGAAATATGTGCAGGCACGTTCTGAAGCAAAGATTAAGTCTCTCTTAATTATTTATGTGCAGAATTCAGCTCTTACATAATGGCTTTTAAAGCTATCTGGTCTCAGTCAAGAACCTCAGCCGACTATTTAAATTACTGGGAATTGCAACCACTGGTTTCAGGAAAGCTTATAACACATAGGAGTGTCCTTAGTAGACTTGGTTCCACCAAATTACTCTGGCTTCTCTTTAGATTGTATACATGTCTTGCCTTTATGTGGTGGTTAAGAAACTGCTCTCTTTAACTCACTTAGGTAGCATTAGGTTGTTGAAAGGGCTGCTTTACAAGAGAATTGGGTGAATTTGTTGTGTGTAGTTTCAGCATATTTACTTTGAATTCCTTGTTCGCTGGCTTTTTTTGGAAAGTTGTAGCACTATTTGTTGGCTGCTAGGTACTGTTGTGGCACTTACTCAGGGCTAAAGTGGGAAATAGCATAGGAAGACAGACAAGCTGAAAATCTTGGCTGTAGTAATCTGATAGATACATAGATGCTCTTTATTCATGCAGAGGTGTATCAGCAGATGTGGTTTTCATGCTGTTGGGATGTAAGAGGAGAAGCCTCAGGTAAAGGTTTCCCCTTGACATTAACTCTAGTCATGTCCAACTCTGGAGGGTGGTGCTCATCTTCATTTCTAAGGTGAAGAGCCGGCATTGTCTGTGGACACCTCCTAGGTCATGTGCCCAGCATAACTACATGGAGCACCGTTACCTTGCCGCAGAAGCAGTACCTATTGATTTTCTCACATTTGCATGTTTTTGAACTGCTAGGTTGGCGGAAGCTAGGCCTCACCCCGCTCCCCGGATTTAAACCGTCAACCTTTAGGTCAGCAAGTTCAGCAGTTCAGCGATTTAACCTGCTGTGCCACCAGTTTAACCTGCTGTGCATACCCCTGGAATCTTGTAACTATTATCTCCTAGTAAAAAGGAGATTGGGTAGTAAAAACTACCCTGTGCCCTGCAATAATCGTAATATTGATGGTGACAGTAATAATGACCATTCCATCCCTCCTTTTCCCTGAAATCTTGGTCTTCCATCAAAATACAAGTCAAGAATTGGGGGTGAGAAAGCCAAATTATTTGTAATAAACAGTTTTAATAACTATTTCATTGAATATTCTATGACGTTTAGCCTTCTGTTACAAGGCTATAAAAACAATAAACTGAAATAGGTTCTCAATATCAATACATTTGTATGCTACAAAGAAAAAGTGGTGAAGCATATAGTTTGAGAAACTACTTTCAAGACCAGAACTCCTATCTTGTGATATTCCTGAATACCAATGATTGTCTGTGTTTATGTGTGTATGTGGTATATAGGGACTCCAAAGTTCAGAGATTTGCTCCAGGAAAGAGATTATAACTATTCCATCTTTCACTTTGCACCTTTTGTGTTTTATCAAAGTGTCCTTGCATGTTTCAAATGCAAACTGCCTTGACTTTTCACTTTATTAGTGGCTTTGGGGTATTTCAGATCTCTTTGCCAATAGGAGCCCATTCTCTTAAATGAAGCAAATAAAAATAGAGCTTTCTTTTGTATATATCACTATAA